TGATATAAAATCTATCGTTGTGAAGAAAAAAAAAAAAATAAAAAAAATGAAAGAACTGCATTCGAAAGCTCCTTTTACTATTTCACAAAATTATATACCTCCACAACAGCATACCCCTGGCAACTGTCTAATGGAAACTTACACACTTTCAGCTTGATCTCATCATCAATTTTCTCCAAGAAAACTGCCCAAGCAAAGTACTCTAGAGTTCAAAACACAACTCACTGTCACAACTCACAAGTTTACTCTATCCAATTTTTTTTGAATTAACTTATATATAAATTATACCAAACAAAACAAATGCCTCCCCATTTCACTATTCACACATCATCATTTAATTTAAGTTCCAATTTCATTACAACCCGAAAAAACAAAAAAATGCGGGTAGCATTTCTGAAGGCAGAGTTTGCTACAGACTAGCAGCAGATGATTTGCAAACAAACTTGTGCTGATGCTGATTTTGTAACTGCGCATTGCACGAACGAGCTTTGTCCCTCAGCTCCTGAAATGCTCTCATTGTCTCAACGTCAAAACCGCCCGCAAACTGAGTACAAAGAGAGAAACGAAAATTTCATAACCTTCCATGCAAGAAGAAAACAAATGATGATAAGCTTTATTTATTTATTTTATTTTGTTTTTTTAAACCTGATGTACTCTGAAGGCAAACTTTACGCCTTGGACAATGAGCTCTTCTTCTTCAGGACCACCACCGACCATTTCAAGCTCAGCCGAGACTCTCTTCATGTACTTCATAGCCAATGTCACGGATGCCAGCTTGATCTGTTCAGAAAGAAAGTGGTCACACATTTTATCTTTAGATACAAGTACTTCCTGTTATTTCCCTATCAAAAATTTAATGTAAGTAAATTCAACCCAATTACATTAAACAAATGATTTTTTTTTTTTTTTATAAATATTTACCCTTCTTGGCTATTGGTAATTTTGAAAATGCAGTTTGTTTCTGTAATTAGCATACAAAAATTACACACTAATTCCACAAACCAATGTACTAAAAAAGGTTATATATAATTTTATAATTAGAAGTACCCGACAGAACTAACGAAACTAGCGCATAGTATAATCCATAAATAATTCAAAATCTAATAGCGTGTGGTCATGAGATTCTCTGTTCAGAAAATAAAGAACAGAAAGGAAAGTACAAGCAGCATTGACTTAAAAACAAATGCCTGAGGTCAACTTGGAGAAAATTTGATTCTAAATTGACTATAGCAAGGCAATAACACATAAAATATACACACACACACTCACCACAGACAAATTTTAAAGAAACATAGAGATTTGAGATATGCACATGTTTGCATGTAGTGGCTGTGGGGAATAATACAAAATTAGGCAAAGTACTTATAACACTT